ACCGCCTGCAGCACCAGCATCCCATATGGGCGCCAGTTCGAGTCCCAGCTGGTCCACTTCCAATCCCACTCTCTGGTATGGCCTGGGAAAGCAGTAGAAGATGGCCCAAGTGCTTGGCCCCTGCACCCGTGTGGGAGACTTGGAAGAAGTTCCTGGCTCCTGGCTCCTGGTTCCTGGCTCCAGATCAGCACAGCTCCAGCCATTGTAGCCACCTGGGGAGTGAACCTGTGGATAGAAGATCTCTCTCTCTCTCTCTCTCTCTCTCTCTCCCCCTCTCTCATTCTCTCTCTCCTTCTCCCTCTCCCTCCCCTCTCCTTCATTCTCTCTCTCTCTCTCTCTCTCTCTAGCTGCCTCTCCTTCTCTCTGTGTGTAACTCTTTCAAATAAATAAATAAATCTTTAAAAAAAAAACAAACAGGGGGCCAGTGCTATGGTGCAGCAGGTTAAAGCCCTGTCCTGAAGCGCTGGCATCCCATATGGGCACTGGTTCTAGTCCTGGCTGCTCCTCTTCTGATCCAGCTCTCTGCTATGGCCTGGGAAAGCAGTACAAAATGAACCAAGTGCTTGGGGCACTGCACCCACATGAGTAGACTCAATAGACGCTCCTGGCTCCTGGCTCCTGGCTCAGCTCCAGCTGTTGTGGCCATCTGGGGGAGTGAACCAGTGGATGGAAGACCTCTCTCTCTCTGTCTCTACCTCTCTCTGCAATTCTGTCTTTCAAATAAAATAAAATAAAATAAAATAAAATAAATCTAAAAAAACCAGAGTTTATTAATTTGAAATAAAAGAAACTCAAAGAGTAACAGGAGAGCAAAAGAAGGTAGGAAACTTGTTGGAAATGTAAACATCCAGACAAAACCAAAAATACTGTCCTACTATCTAGTGGGGAGTAACTCAAGTATTAAGACAAAATATTGGGGCCAGCATTGTGGTGCAGCGGGTTAATGCCCTGGCCTGAAGCGCTGGCATCCCATATGGACACCAGTTCAAGACTCAGCTGCTCCATTTCCTATCCAGCTCTCTGCCATGGCCTGGGAAAGCAGCAGAAGATGGCCCAAGTCCTTGGGCCCCTGCACTTATGTGGGAGACCCAGAAGAAACTCCTGGCTCCTGGCTTCAGATTGGCACAGTCCCGGACACTGCGGCCACCTGGGGAGTGAAACAGGGATAGAAGACCTCTTTCTCTCTCTCTGCCTCTCTTCTCTCTGTGTAACTCCTTCAGATGAATAAATAAACAAATCTTTTTTAAAAAAAAGACAAAATATTAAAAATAACTGATTAAATTTTGTTAATGGGTACACGGAGGAAAACTTTGACATTGATATATACAATATTGGAGAAGGAAGGATAAAAGTGTACATTTTTAGTGAAGTAGTTATCAGCTTAAAAAATGCTACTATAATTATAAGATAGTTTAGTAAAACCCATGATAACCACAAAGAAAATACCTATAGAAGTTACAAAAGAGACAGAGAAAGAAAACAAAGCCTATTAAACAAATACATGTATACACAGGAAGACAGCAAGAGAGATAAAGGAAAACAAAACAAGACAAACAGAAAAGAGTTAACAAAATGACAATGGCAAATCCTTCCCTGTCTATAATTGCTTTACACATAAATGGATTAAACTCTCAACGAAAAAAATGCAAAGTAGCTGAATGGATTTATAAACCTAGATTCAACTACAGACTGTCTATAAGAAACTCATTTTACATTCAAGGATATATATAGGCTGAAAGTGAAGAAATAGAAAAGAATACTTGATGTAAATGGCATTCAATGGAATGTAAAAATAGCTAATTTTTTATCATTTAAAGTAGAACTTAAGTCAAAAGCCATCTCTAGAGACAAAGAAGGTCAATACATAATGATAAAGGAGTCAATATACCAGGAAAATCAAACAATTATTAATACATACACACCACACAACAGAGCACCTATGTATGTGAAACAAATAACACAGTTCTGAATGAAGAAAATGACAACAACACTAGAGTAGGAGACCTCAAACCCCCACTTTCAATAATGAATAAAACAGCCAGATAGAAAAACAAAGAAAAGGTGAACTTAAACAATACAGACCAAATGCACCTAACAAACACACTCAGAGCCTTCTGCTCCAGGCAAAAGACAGACATTCATCTCATGCACACACAGAACATTGTCCGTGACAGATCACATGTTATGTCACAAAACAAGTCTTAGCAAATTAGGAAGACTGAAATCACACCAATTATCTTTTCTAACTATAATGGGATGGTATTAGAAATCAGTAAGAAAATGGGAAAATTTACATTACAGGTAAGCGGAAACCAAAAAGAAAAAAAATCTGAACAAACATTAAATCAAAGAGAAAAATCAAAGACTCAAAGACAATTTTTAAAAAATATATAAGGACAAGAAAAACTGAGAACATAGCATATTCAAACTTATACAACTTAAATAGTCCGAGTCCCAGCTGCTCCACTTCTGATCCAGCTCTCTGCTCTGGCCTGGGAAAGCATGAGAAGATGGTCCAAGGCCTTGGGCCCCTGCACCCACGTGGGAGATATGGAAGAAGCTCCTGGCTCCTGGCTGCAGATCAGCTCAGCTCTAGCCATTGCAGCCATTTGGGGAGTGGACCAGCAGATAGAAGACCTCTAGCTCTCTCTCTGCTTCTCCCTCTCTGTAACTCTGCCCTTTAAATAAATAAATAAATCTTTAAAAAAAATTGTCTCTATTTGCAGATGATATTTTATATATATGCATATATAGAGAGAGAGAATTAAAGACTCAACATAAAAACAATTAAAAATAATGAGCAAATTCAGTAAAAATTGGAGGATACAAAATCAATATGCAAAAATCAGTTGCATTTCTATATACTAATAATGAAGTAGCCAAAAGACAAAATAAGAAAATAATCCAATTTCAAACAGTGTGAAAAAGAATAAAATAGTTGGGAATAAATTTAACCAAGGAGGTAAAAGATTTATACACTGAAACTATAAAAATATTGATGAAAGACAAAAATAAAAGGAAACATAGTCTATATTCATGGATTGTAAGAGTAAATATCATTAAAATGTTCATACTACCAATAGCAATCTACAGACTCCAAGCAATCCCTATGCAATTTCTATTGGCAATTTTCAAAGGAGTTGGAAAAAATTCCTAAAATTCCTGTGGAAACACAAAAGATCATAAATACCCAGCAAAACTGAGCAAGAACAGAGCTGTAGACATCACACTTCCTCATTTTACACAGTATTAAAATGCAACAATGAGCAAATAGCATGGTACTGACACAAAAAAATAAATAACACAAAACACAAAAACCGATAGAACAAAATAAACAGTGCTTGAACTAAAAAATACATTATGGGGAAAGGATAATTTCTTTAATCAATGTTAGTGGGAAAACTGGATTATATATACACACAAAAATTTTAAAAATAAGAAAGAAATTAGATCCTTAAATTATACCATATGCAAAAATAAGCTCAAAGTGAATTAAAGGTTTTAATGTAAAACCTGAAATCATAAACTCTTTGAAGAAAGCATATTGGAAAAATCATCATAACATTGGTCTTAGAAATAAGGTTTTGGAAAGAACATCCAAAGCACAGGCAACAAAAACAAAAATAAACAAGAGAAATCAATCCCATATGATCGTGATACGACATCTTTTTAATGAGATCTTCAGTTTGCTAGTACTCTTATTGAAGATTTTTCCTTACACAGCAATGAGAATTATTGGTCTGTCATTTTCTCATAGCATCTATCCTTGTCTGGCTTTGGTTTCAGGAATGCTGGCCTCATAAACTGAGTTTGGAAGTATTCTCTCCACTTTAGTTTCTCAGAAGAGTTTGAGAATAATGGGTATTATCTCATCTCTAAGTGTGTCGTTGACTTCACCAGTGAATCCATTAGGCCTGGGTGGATGATTTTTTTGGGTGGATGATTTTATTCTTATAAATTTAATTTCCTGGTCTGCCCATATTTTCCATCTTGTCATCATTCCATTTTGATAGATTATATTTTTCTAGGAATTTATCCATTTTTCTAAGTTAGACAATTTAAGGCCATATAATTATCCATAGTTTCTTATGATTCTTTGTATTTCTGTTGCAGCAGTTGTAATGTCTCCTTAATTTCTAATTTATTTGAAATTTTTTCTTTCATTTTCTCTGTATAGCTGAATATTTACCAATAATGTTTATCTTTTCAAAAAACTTCTTTTTTTAGATCTTTTATATTGTTTTCTAGTCTGTATTTCATTTATTTCTTCTTTGATCTGTCTTATTTCCTTTCTTATATTAACTTCCCTTATATAAACTTTCTATTCTTTTTCTATTCCTTGGAGAGTAATATTACACTGTATATTTGAGATTTTTCTCGTTTTTTAATCTAAGCATTTGTTGCTACAAACTTCCCTCTAAGAAATACTTCACTCCATAAGTTTTGGTATGATTTCCTTTCATTTCATTTGTTTCAATTTTTTAATTTCATTTTTTCTACCTTCTTGGGCTCTTTGGTTGTCCAGAAACATATTGTTTAATTTCCACATATTCCTGAATGTTCCAGTTTTCTTTCTTTTATTGATTTCTCTGCTCATACTATTGTGAACATAAACAGATGCTTGATATAATTTTGACCTTTCTAAAGTTTTCAAGGCTTGTTTTGAAGCCTCACATATGACTTCCATGAAGTAGAGGAGAATGTGTGTTGTGTTGCTGTTTGATGGCTGCTCTGTATACGTGTTAGGTACCTTTGATCTAAAGCATAGTATAAGTTCAGTGTTTCCTTATTGATTTTCTGTCTGAATGAACAATCCATTATTGAAGGGGAAGTATTTAAATCTCTTATTATTATTATCGCATTGCTGTTTATTTCTTCCTTCACTTTTGTTGCTACGTAATTTTGATATTAGGTATTTATAATTGCTATATCCTCTTAATAAACTGATCCTTTTACCATAAATAATGACCTTCCTCTTCTAAAGACCATTTTTTACTTACAATCTATTTTATCTGATGTAAGGACAGTGTCCCCTGGCATCTTCCGGGTTCCACTTGCATGTAACATCTCTTCCATTTCTTCCAAGGCAGCACACTTGTGCCCTTGGAGCTAATGCGAGTATTTTGTAATCAGCTTGTAGTTGAGATTTTTTTTTAGAAAATCCATTCAGCCACTTCATGTCCTCTGACTATCTGAATAGGGTTACTGTAAAGAGGAAGAAAGAGATCATGTAGAAAATATAAGAATTTCAGAGAAAATTCCTTAAGCAAGGGAAAATAAATGGTCTCCAGTAGCTTTAAATATGACAATAGTCCATCCTTGGATATATGAGGGTGAATACAGATGGAGCTGCTCTCAAAAATTGCACATAAGGAAATAGACTGTGTTATATTATAGTAAATATGGTAAAAAAATAATTCTCTTTTCCAGGGTAGTCACTATTCCTCCTGGTTTTGGCAGCATGCCAAGGACTTCAGGCACATGTCATTCCCCATGGCTCTGAAAAGTAGGATCTCCAGAACAAATACAGCGCACCCATGGGTTTTTTTATAACAATTTCTCACACTTTGAAAGAAAAGGGTGTGGTGGAGAGAGAGAAGGAGAGAATATATTATATTCTTGGAATTGTATCTATGAACTATATTGAATCTGTTAAATACCAATTAAAAAATTTTTATGTGCATTATTTTTTTTTAAATAAGGGGCTGGTGATGTGGTATATCAGGTAAAAGCCGCAGCCTACAACACTGGCATCCCAGACAGGCTCTGGTTCGAGTCCCGGCTGCTCCACTTCCAATCCAGCTCTCTGCTATGGCCTGGAAAAGCAGTGAAAGATGGCCCAACTCCTTGGGCTCCTGCGCTGGCATGGGAGACCCAAAAGAGCCTCCTGGCCATCTGGGGAGTGAACTAGCGAATGGAAGGCCTCTCTTTCTCTCTGCCTCTACCTCTCTGTAATTCTGCCTTTCAAATAAATAGATAAATCTTTTAAAAATTAATAAAATAAAAAAAAAAGTTTCTCAGGCTCTGTCCCAGATTAACTGAATCAGAAATTCCAGAGATTGGACCTAGTACTCTGCATATAAACCAAGCCCCCAGGTATTCTGATCATGATGAAGTTTTAAATTCATGGTTCTAGAGCTTGAAAGAAAAGTTATGCGAGAGGCTTCTAAAACTACCCCCAGGCCCATGGGTTCCAAGTACCCACTCTCCTCAAACTTCCAGACTTCCAATTGCAGCTGTTGCTGTGCAAGAACTTGTCATCACCAATCTACTTTTCTGGGACAGTCTTCAAGGACAACATAAGAGACCTAATAAATATGACCCTCCAATAAGCACTCTTCCCAGTGGCCATATCCAAGCTGGAGAACACTGTTTTTATATCTGTTTCTCATCTTTAGGAAAACCCAGTTATACTTGAGCTATTTGAAATAGTTTATTTTAAAGTTGGTCAGAAAGCCAATTCTATTATTAATATACTTCATGTGTCAGGAAAATAAAATATATATGTTTATGAATTTGAATATCACCATTATTTACATATAAAATGTCAGTATAAGGCAAGTTGATTTTGTTTTCCTGCACTGCTATTGGAAAAGAAAACATCAACATTAACTCTTTGGGGAAGACATGAGAATCACTCTGCAGGACTTGGAGCAAGAAGTTCACTTCTTGTTCTCCTAGACCTTCAGGAAATAAATTATCCTTGAGACTACAAAGTCTGTATAAATAGATGAGTATAGTACATATCTGAAATATGATAAGCCTATCCTATAAAGATAATATTTAATTTTTATTCTGGCTATCATCTGGATTGATCAAATTTTCAATATAAAGAATGCCCTTTTTCTCATTTTAAATGTTAAAGCTCATCTCAGTGGGAAGTATTAAAGACTCCATTTAATGTGTTTCCTCACAACGTAAGCATCACCTTTGTTATATTAAAATCCATTTCTTTTTAGTGTGATAAAATTAGAAAGAACTCCAGCCGAATATAATTAAAGCCTTGGACTATCTATCTTCCAAGGAACCAAGTGACTCCTGCACCACGGGGAGTCCCGTATGCTCCCCTACTGTGGCTAAGTTCATAAGTGCAAGTTGAAAGGATCCGTGCTGATTATAACTACATTCTAAATTAGCCAATATTAGCGCTGTGCCAAATAATTCACATAGCATGGTTTCCATGTTAGACAATCAATTATAGTTCAGAGGAATCCACGGAAAAATCCATAATTTTTACTTAGGATCATAGTTTTTGTAATTTAGCATATTATTATAGCAGGGCCTTCAAAAGGTCAGACAGAACAATGAAGAGCGATTTCGAGTTAGTAAACGTTCCTTTATCCTCACAGGAGGGTAAGGAAGCTGATTATAGCTACACGCTTGATGGCATCAGAATTTTAATTTATTTTGACATTCACCATCAAGTATACTTTAAAATTGAAAACAATTTTATCTAAAACCTATTAGAAATCCATTCAAGTGTTCCATGATGATGGGTATTTCTTATTAGAATTCTGCATGTTGATCAGCTCGGGAGGTAGCACCAGGTAACTGAGCACCTGCCTAGTGGCCTAGTAGGTAACACATTTTTATTGTTTTCAGATTTGAGTAGTAGCATTGTACATATACTTTAGCAAAGAATATTTTAAAATGTTTTATTTTAAAGTTTGTTATTAATGTACTTCATGTGCCAGAAAAATAAAATACGTGTGTATCTGAACTTGAATATTACAATTATCTATGTATAAAATACCATCAAAAGGACAGGTGATTTCTTTCCTGCCACTGCTATAAGAAAAGAAAACATCCACATTGACTCTTTGGAAAGTCAATGACTGTACCCAGGAGTTCTACCTATTGCAATGGCACAATGGACTAATTCCAGAAAATTCTGTGACTCATCTTCTCCATACCAATATATTAGACCTGAATAAACATTCACTCTTTTTCTTCTAATATACAGAGTACACTTACAAATGACAAGCCAATAGGTTAAATTTAGTCCCTAACCTCCACAATACAGTAAAAAGAAAAGCAATCCTCTTTTTCCAAACATAAAAAGTCTTGTTATTGAGGCTGGCACTGTGGCACAGCAGGTTAAGCTGTGGCCTGCAACAAGGACATTCCATATGAGCCTCAGTTTGAGTCCCAGCTGCTCCACTTCCTATCCAGCTCCCTGCTAATGTGTCCGAGAAAACAGTGGGGGTGGCAAGAGTACTTGGATGCCTGCCACCCACAAGGAAGAGCTGAATGGAGTTCTAGGCTCCCAGCTTCAGTCTGGCCCAGGCCCAGTCATTGCAGGCATTTGGGGAGTGAACAAAGCAGATGGAAGCGAGCTCTCTTTCTCTCTCTCCCTCTCTTTCTCTCTCCCTCTCTCCCTCCCTCCTCCTTTCCCCCTGCCTCTCCCTCTATAACTTTGCCTTTCAAAAAAATAAAATCTTTAAAAAGAAAACAAACCATATTATTTATTGTCACGTAAGAGTAACCCTGAGAAGTCTGCTCTGAAATTTTACGTCATTAGAATCTTTATATCATTGGTTAACTCAAAAAGATAGTCCACCAAAACCATCGGCTTGTCCATAACAAAGACGACATAAGACATTGGGGATAAGAAAATTAAATGACTGTGCAAGTTGATCCTTCACGTTAGGCCAGGTTGGCTCTAATCAGAAAAATTACATACCTGTCCAATGCTCACACACAAAGTTTTTATCATCAGAGCCCCTACTTGGAATTAAGGCAGTATCTACAAAATCTTGTCAAAACAATTTATGTGGGAGAAACACAATGTTATTCTCTCCTATCGTAACCGAGATCCAGGAAGAAAAAGATAGTGGTAGATGCCAGCATCCTACATTGGAATACCTGGGTTTGATTCTCAGCTCTGGCTCCTGACCTTCATGCCACTGCAGACCCCAGGGAGGCAACCAGTGACAGCTCAAATAATTGGGTTCCTGCCACTCAAGTTGGAGCTCTGGCCCTGGCCATGTGGGCATTTGGGAAGTGGACAAGCAGATGGGAACTTACTCTAGTTGCCTGCCTTTCTCTCTCTCTCTCTTTCTCTCTCTCTCTCTCTCCCTCTCAAGAGAAGGGAGGGAGGGGGGAAATAAATAAGAAATGAAGACATGGGGGAAGAGACAGGGAATCATCGAGAGTAAGTCCAAATTGAAGAGGGATAAACGCTCCATCAGAAGACATGAGGAGTGCAGAGACAGAGGGAGCTACCTTCCCATCAAAGGCGGCTTACTGCAGAGAACCCGAGCTGTGTGCTGCAGCCAGACTGCCCCAGTTCAAATCCCAACTCTGCCGCTTCTTAATGCAGAGAAGAGAGCAAATCTCTTAACCCCTCTGTGCCCGTTTGCATGCCCTATAAAATAGGAATAACAACAGCTACACACACACTGAGATGTTGTGGTGCTCAGACTAGCACAGCCTGAGATCAATACCTAGCCTGTGTGAATAACCACAGACGTATCTGCTTTAGGATTATTACCTGCAATAGCTCCCGTCTTAAAATTAAAGGTATATTTCCTGAATGTAGTGTGCAGGGGAGCAAGAATGAACGCATTACTCTGTTTGGTTTCATTGCTGCTGCTTTTTTGTCTGTTTGTGTGACACCATCTTGGTTATATTAACTCCAGCACACTGATATTACCTTTGGGAATGAGCCCGATGGAATGGTGGTTCGGGTTTAGTGTACCTGGGCAGTTTACCTAAATGCTTCCACTCACTGCTTTTCCTGGGATCATTCCTGCTATGAGGCATAAAAACCTAGCAAGGCGGCTCCACGGAGCGTGTGCCTTCCTCAGCTCCCCAGCTGCTCGCAGGGGCGGTCGGGGCACCGAGAAGCAGGAGGCTCACTAATTGCTCAGAATCACGAGGTAGGCTCCTTACCTCTCGCTTGCCTCTTTCATTAGTGTGCTGTTTCTACTGTCGTTGCTTCTCCAAGAATTTCTACTTCTCAGAAAAGGAAAAAAGTGTCAAAATGCTTAAAAAATATTTCACTAAATTGTAGACTTCTGCAGTACAGCATTATAGCAACAGATAACAATACTGCTTGTGCACTTAAAAATCTATTAAGAGGGTAAATCTCATGTTAAGCATTCTCACCTCAATAAAATAAAAAATTATAAAAGAAGCACTTCAAGAAAATGCAGCATTTTAGATTATAAATATATGCCAAACAATAAATACATAAAGCAAATAATATACAATAAATATAATGATACTTTCCCCTTATTCTACTTAAAGTGTTTATAATTCGGTTTTTAAAGGACAAATGAAAAAATGATTTATTGATAGCTATGAAACACAAACAGAAAACATGTAGCATACACTAAATACACATTTGGGGATGGCAGATTACTTTTCTATAATGGTTAAATCATTGAATTGTGTTTATTTTTATTTCCTAAACATTTATTGCTGTATTGAGATGTTGGTGAGACAACTACAACTAGAACATGTACCGCTCCTACCATCAGTAGCTTATAAAAGCATTCTTCAAAAATTTCACAGCAACATAGAATTAAAAGGTCAATTTATTTTGGTGCAAAAAAAATTTTTTTGAAACCCTTGTATTGTAGAGGTCTTCAAGAAGTTCTTGGAGGGGCCAGATCTGTGGCTCGGTGGGTTAAGCCACTGTCTGCAGTGCCAGCATCCCATATGGGTGCCTGATCAACTCCTGGCTGCTCTACTTCTCCCCCAACTCCCTGCTAATGTGTCTGGGAAAGCAGTGGCACCCATGTGGGAGACCAAGAACAAGGTCCTGGCTCCCGGCTCCTGTCTTCAGCCATTTAGGGAGTAAACCAGTGGATGGAAAATTCTCTCTCCCTCTAACTCTGCCTTTCAAATAAATAAATAGGATCTTTATTTAAAAAAAATCTTGGAAAATGCCTATCTGAAAAACTCTATGGATTTCAATTTTTGGCACAGGAGTAAGTTTATTTTTTAATTCCATTTTCCACAAGTTTTTCATAGGGTATGCAACTGCATGGATGTTGGGGATGGAGGGGTGGAGAATGGAATATGAAAAACAAAATTAGTAAAATACACAAAGCATGATATTGGTGATAATGGTGATACTGGCCATGGAGTGAAATGACAAAGGGAGAACTGAGAGCTTTGTGAAGTGGTGAGAGGTTGCAGTTTTCTTTTATTTAAGATTTATTTTATTTATTTGAAAGACAGAGTTACAGAGAGAGGTAGAGACAGAGAGAGAGGTCTTCTATCCACTGGTTCACTCCCCAGATGGCCGCAAGGGCCGGAGTTGCGCCAATCCGAAGCCATGAGCCAGGAGCTTATTCCAGGGTCTCCCATGAAGGTGCAGGGGCCCAAGCACTTGGGCAATCCTCTACTGCTTTCCCAGACCATAGCAGAGAGCGGGATTGGAAGTGGAGCAGCTGGGACTAGAACCGGCGCCCATATGGGATGCCAGTGCTTCAGGCCAGGAATTTAACCTGCTGTGCCACAGCGCCAGCCCCAAGAGGCTGCAGTTTTCAACAGGAGGGTGTGAAATGGTCATCATGGGCAGATGACAGCTGAGGAAAGACTGACAACCAAGGGGCAAGAAGCCACACAGACATCCACACATGACCATTCATGGTGGAGGGCACTCAGGTGCACATATCTTGATAGAGGCAAAGGTTTGGGGCCAGGGAAGTAGCATCCCTAGAGCATGAAGGAGGGGTTGAGCTCACAGAATCTGGGGTAGACAGACTTGCTATAGGACCTAAAATGCTAATAGAATGGTATGGCCTTTACTGTGAAGGAGAGAAGCTAAGGAAGAGATGGGGGTAAGAAGGGTGTCAATGGACTGATTTTCTTGGGAGAAGAAGCAGGATCCGTGTGTAATATCAGAGTTAGAAGCAGAGAGAGACCCCGGGCACAGTCAAAGGAGGAAAAGCAGAGAATAGGGTCCCATTCTGGTGAATGAATAAATATGATGGTGAGAACCTGTGGAAATTCTGATTGTTTTTATGTTCTCAGTGAAATAGTAAGCATGGCAACCAATAAAAATCCACATCTATACAAAAGAATGCCCAATCATTTACACATTTATTAAGATATTCCAAGAATACATGTATATTTTGGAGAACATATAAAAGTTAAAGGTCAACATTGGAAATACAATCCAATGAAGTTAACCTGATCAACACATCATCAGTGACTACAGAACAAGTTAATCGTAAGGCAGCATTCTTGGTCCAGAACCACAGACCCTGTGGCCCTGAGCTAAAAAGCCTTTGGCTCTGCCCAGCCTCTGCCCAGCTTCCAACTCTAACCACTATTATTTAGGGGATAGTCTAGGTTCAGTGAAACCTAAGTTGCCTATTCATACTAGCCTCCTATTCAGCACTCCTTCTAGTCCAGCCGTGTAATGGAGCTCAACAGGGTACCCCCCCTTAAGGAGATCCCATTTCTCTTGTAATTCTCTTCCAGCACCCCATGATAGGTCTGGGCCTCACACATACCTGGCCAGGCCTTCAAGCCTATCTACCTTAAAAGCCTTCCTGCCAGTACCTAAAACCAGGGCTTAGAGTAACAGCTAACTTAAAAAGTCCTGCATCTATTTGGACAGGTGCTCACTGAGGACTTAAGGGGCCTATCTCTTGAGGAGTGTAGGAAAATAATCTAAAATGTAGATGGTTAAGTGTAAATGGTTTATTAGTCTGTTTCCTTTCCCAGTCCGAGACTCTTGTCTTGTACATTAGCTTAACTTCCTAGCAAAACGTAACTACTAGGCATCCAAAGAAAAAAAAAAGCATAGCCAATCCACTAGAGAGTTAATTATTTAACCCTTAACTCATCCCTGGGGAGAGAAAACCAGACCCAGAGAGGATATGGGGCATGCAGCAAATTCCTACTTCTGCAAACTTCAGCATTTCCCTAACAGGTTATGGATTCCTAGCTACATGGAAATAGCACAGTTCCTAAATCAGGCTCTCAACAGGGAGTCAAAACAGAGCCCCCTCCTTTGGGAAAAACAAACAAACAAAGCACAGCTTTCATCCATTGAAAAGCTGCCAAGACTAGGGATCCCACAAGAGATTGCTAATTCAGTCCTTCAAAACAGGCAGGCCCTAGACCTGTTACCTGCTGTCCAAGAAAATGCCCTGAACTAGGGTTAAACTAGATGGCTACAAAATCATGTTCATACTTTCTTGGACAATGCCAGACAACTCCAGGACCAGGTCAGACTAGGCTAAAATATCTGGTCTAACATCACATCTGGTCATTGCCTCTCCTCAGTGACATAGCATTCTTTCTGCTTCTCTGTGGGCTACTGTGCTTTGATGTCCTTGTTTGTTCTGTCTCTAACAGAAGACAAGCCATCCAGCTCCAGGTGCTTCTGAGACAGGGCTCACAGCCTACCTCATCAGACAAGATGACCAGTCCTCTAGAACAAGCAAGACAAAGCTTCCACAGACCACTCTCAAACACCACAGGACAGATAGCAAGAGAAAAATACCCTACATCTTGACACCCATTTGTCAGCTTCTGAAATAGCTACAGAAAATGGACCTTCAACCATTTATCCCCATAAGATTATAGGTATTTTTCTCTTGGAGGGGGCGGAATATTAGGTAGGAAGTTAAAAACTAGCCTTTTTAAATTAATTTATTTATTTGGGAATTAGCCTGTTTGTGTGAGAAGGGCCTGAAGAAACCAGCACCTGCTTTGGAAGCCCCAGAAGCCCAGCATTTTGCACGTCAAAGTCCTGCTCAGACCCTGATAACCTCCCAGGTGGTCCCAGCCCTTCCCCAAGGAAAGCTCCCGGGAGAACCTTTACAGATGCCCTAGGGGAAGCCCCTCTGATTTGCCTGGCTCCAGCAAACCTGGGGAGAAATTTGCTAATTTACTCTCCAAAAAAAACTCTTTATCCTAAAGGAGAAGGGGGAGGGGGTAAAGAAACCCTTAAAAAACTGGGAGTCTAGCCTGCACTGTGGCACAGCAGGTTAAAGCCCTGGCCTGAAGTGCCAGCATCCCATGTGGGTACCAGTTCTAGTCCCAGCTACTCCTCTTCCGATCCAGCTCTCTGCTATGGCCCAGGATAGCAGTAGAACTCTCTGTAATTCTGTATTTCAAATAAATAAAATAAATCTTTAAAAAAAAAAAGTTTAAACTTTTCATAGAATGGCAAATGCCCTAAACAACACTCTGACCTCAGTATCAGCCTTAAGGCATTCAGATCTGGCTAAAAAGCCCAAGAGAGTTTCACAGGCATGGAAAGCCAAGACACTGTAGCAAAAAAAAAAAATGACCTAAATGAAAGACCTCTGTGAGTGAGATCCCAGTGGAAAGAACAGGCCATCAAAGAGGGCAGTACCTTTCTCTGAAGGGAAGAGAGAACTTCTACTTTGACTGTGGCCTTGTCTAAATAAGATCAGAGTTGGTGAACTCAAACGGCTTCCATAGCCTTGGCAGCTCATGACAAGAGCCTCGGGTGATTACTGACATCATAAATAAGAGTGTCAATTGTTAAATCAACAATGGGTGTCACTGTGCCCCTAGTCCCCATGTAGGACCTCTGTCCTTAATGTGTTGTACTATGCGAATTAAGGGTGAAGCTATTACTCAAACAGTACTCAATAATTTGTGCATCTGTGTGGGTGCAGTCTGTTGAAATCTTTACTTAGTATATACTAAGTTGATCTTCTATATATAAAGATATATACAAAATGAATCTTGATGAAGAATGTGATGGGAGAGGGAGTGGGAGATGGGATGGTAGCAGGTGGGAGGGAGGTTATGGGGGGAAAAGCTGCTATAATTCAAAAGTTGTACTTTGCTAATTTATATTTATTAAATAAAAGTTGAAAAAAACTTAAAAAAAAAAAAACAGAGTCTAAACAAAGACTGGGTGCTCACCTCTGCTCTCTGCTGAGCCACCCACCTGGCCTGCCCAGGTGTATTCTCTCCATTCAACCAGGTAAGCTTGCTTTCCCCTAGTCTGAGGGACTGGGCACTCTCTCTCTATCCCTTCCTTTCTGAAGTATGCCCTGTCCCCCGTAAAACCTTATTACTCTGCAAAAAAAAAAAAAAAAAAAAAAAAAAAAAAAAAAAACTAGTAAGGCAGCACTCGAATGAAGGTAGGACAGGTGGTCAGACATTCTGGGGGAATTTGTACAGTGACAAATCTATGTGGGAAGGTGGCACACACTTAGGCCTCATCTAACACAATTCTAAAGTGTGTCCTTTTATCTCCTTACCATTTCTGAGGTCTCTATGAAGCAGAACATGACATTGGTTTTAACTATAAATGATATAAGAATATGAAACTACACATACACAATAATGCTTGTCAAAAACAGTTTTATGCCACACAACGACTGATTCCCATTCCAATGTTATTATCTTGGAGAAAATACTACTAAAGTTATTTAGAATGTGAGAACTCTGTCCCAGTCTCTTGCTTAATGGTCTCCACCCATGCACACCTGTATTCATACACATACCCACACTACACTGCATGGATGTGTAATCCCATGTACCTGGAAAAACCAATTCATCCACTTCCTTTTTTGCTATGTACACGGATTTTGGCTCAATTCGTTATGAAGAGGCATCTCCAATTCTCACATCAGTTGGAACAGTACGAGTACAGTTGTGTTTCCTCCTTCATTTGTTTTCCTCCTTTCTTGCAGACATGATGCAAAGGGGGAGCCTGGTATTTCTATCACAGGCCCTGTGCATATATGTTAGGAATACGCATTTGCAGAAATCAACCCACAGAGTCATTTTCTGTGAGCTAAGGCTTGCCCAGCTTCCTCCGAATCTCTAGCTCCCGTATGGTCCAATAGCTCAGGTAGTACTCCACAGAAACTACCTGAACAATTCCTTATTTTAGCATCTTTATGTGGAAGAGTGCTCTCACGTGTCACCAAGGGTCTCCAAATATAACTACATTCTGAGACTGATATTGTGAACTATACAAGGTTTCGCTGTAGGATCTAGCACAATTTTTGAATGTTTGCCTTAAAAAATTTACCAGACCATTGCAAGAAAAAATACAAGAATGGCAATTAATATATGAAAATGAGTACTTGTAATCCACTTACCACAAAATTATATATTTTTACATCACACTAGCCAATATTTTTAAATAGCTTTATATTTTGGCTGTAAGTTATTAAGTCTCTCATCTCTATCACAATCGTGTATATTTAAGTCAAAACTGAAAATGCCTAGGTGTCCTTACTTCACTTAGGAACCACCAAGCTTCTCTTCAAAAGATACAATTATTAAAGACCTTTTTTTCTGCTGAGGCTACAGGAAAACAGAATTCAGTAAAGGATAATTAAATAACCAAATAAATCACGGTGAGGATTCTGATTTTTCTTCAGCCATTAATGAGGCTAGAAATAATTGCCTGCCTGGCTTTGTTCACATGATTAGAAACATTTGCAGGCTAACAGCAAACTTCTCAAGCAACACTGGGTCTAGTAAGGACACAGCTTTGGCATTTTTAAAGTCAGAATCAGTGAAAACATGAAGACAAAATAGAGTCAAAAGCTTGTTTCAGTGGCTTCGGTCTGCTGGACTTTTGGAGATGACACATTTTAGAGCACCAAACACACATTTGTGCCAGCAGAGATTTTTAATTAGCCTCCCAGCTTCACAGCAATAATAGAGGGAGCAGAACTTGGGTCACCACTTAGTGTGTTTTGGATCCTTTGAAAACGGACTTTTGTTCCCTTTTGAGCCATGGCATTGACTCCCCTGCATCCCTCCATAGGAGTTTTGCCCAGTGACAAATCAGCTGTGGTCCAAACGGTTTCTAATTAACAGTAACAGGATATTGACTGGGGAAACCATTGCTTGACAGAGGCCAAAGGAAAGCTTTAGGGCCGTGAACTTTCCGTTAAATTCAGAAGTGATTATTCTCCCAAGATCATAGCTTCATCATTACTGCCCTACCACAAATATTGGAAAATACCCTTTTTAAAAAAATTTTTTACTGTTGTAGCACAGTCGGGAAAATAGATGAAAGATCACTGATCAATGATCATTCTTGCCATGAATCAGCTCTTCTATTTCTAGTTACATCTTACAAAACTCATTAATTACTGAAATAACTAGCAACTGGGCAGCTTTTGAACCCAGGGTTTTTTCCCCACCAAAGGGTAGTATTCTGAATTCATTGCCCAGATTTTTTTCCTAGGCTTTCTGACTCTACCCTTTCAATAGTACAGTGATGCTATTAAAAATAGTAGTTGACAGTTCTCCTGGTCCCCCAAATAGCTCGATTGCTCTGTGTCCCCAAGAGCCAGCTCCTCTAAAATGGAGTGTGGAAGCCAATTTGCAAACCCCAGGGGAGCTCTCCTTTAACTTCTCAAGCCCTCTCTGCAGAATATTACACTTCTGTACTAGAAGTATTTGAGTCTTGTTTTTGAAGATCATTTTTTTGTATCAGGAACGTGAATAAGTGATGCTTAAGGCTTCATTTTTAAATTTGAGAAGAAATGTCAGTGTATCCTGGCTTGCAATAGAAGTGACCTTTACTCTGGAGATAGAACCTAGACTAGCAGATCTCAACCGTGCTTCATCAAGAACTGGGATTCCTCTGCATTGACTGAATAACTTCCTCAAGGACGAAGCATGCAAGAGCAAGTCAGGGAGATGGAATTCAGGGACCATCCTGCCTCACTTTACCCAAAGAACTCAGAGGGTGATGGCTAAAGCATTCAGCGCTAGGTTCCTATCCAGACGCCCCACTCAGAGTGGACACCACCTCGGTGTACTGGACACTATACCTCAGAGTGGACACCACCTCGGTGTAGTGGTACAGGCAGGTGAGTGCTGATCAGCCTGTCATCAAAACACAGTCAACCCATTTGCACTGACTCTGTGTCTTGGAGATGAGGTTCCAAGTCAGTTAGTAAAAAAGTGCTCATTGCTTAAAGAAAAAGTTTAATAACAACTTCTATATAAGAAGAAATCTCTCCATTTTAACTCATCACAATTGAACTATTCAGCACCAATGGAAACTCAATAATGCCACATAGTATTGAATGAATGTCCTCGACTCATTAGTGAGGTTACAGTCTCAGAGGGAGAAGGTCCTTTCAATATCAACTAGGTCAGCCACTTTTATGACCCTCAACTCCCTCCAGATCATCCCAGCTAAGTAACAGCAAAGCCTTGCGACAACTTCAGAGATGGAGGCGTTCTAGAATACGGAACAGCAAAAGTAAAGATCCTACTGGGGAACATACCTGACATTTTGGAAAAACAGGAAGAAGGCTTGATATCAGAGCGGAGTGAGCAATAGAACTAAAGGGGATAGGGTTAAAGGGCAATTGCTGGGGCCAGTGCTGCAGTATACCGGGTAAAGCCACTGCCTGTAGTGCCAGCATCCCATGTGCGCACTGGTTCGAGTCCCAGCTGTTCCACTTCCTATCCTGCTCTCTGCTATGGCCTGGGAAAGCAGTAGAAGATGGCCCAAGTCCTTGGGCCCCTGCACTCACGTGGGAGACCCAGAAGAAGCTCCAGGCTCCTGACTTCAGATTGGCAAAGCTCTGCCCATTGCTGCCATTTGGGGAGTGAACCAGCAGATGGAAGGCCTCTCTCCATCTCTGCCTCTGCCTCTGCCTCTGTAACTCTGCCTTCCAAATAAATAAATAAAACTTTAAAAAAAAAAAAAAAAGGAAATTGCTATGGTTTGAACAGACTTCGGCTCCCCAAGCTCATGCAGATGTTTAAACCCCAAAGTCTTATGTTGATGGTTAAAGGATTGATGTTAATAATTGATGGATTAAGGGTAGAGGGTCATGTAATTTCATTGCCTGGAGGCAGGACCTTTGAGTTGAGATTAGATTGAATCAGGTTCCTAAAGTGGGTCGCATGATCAAACAATCATGGCCATGGCATTACAGAGAGAGGCCACATGAAGAATGTGTTCCCGGCATCTCTCTCTGCTTCCTGGCTCACCACACATTCATCCATCCCTCCTCCAGCCTCACCAGATGCCTAAACCAGCTGGGCCACACAATCTTGAATTGTGAACCTCCAAAACTGTAAAAAGAAATAAACTTCCTTCCTTCCCAAATTAAAAAAAAAAAAAAAACTGCTCTCGGGAATTTATAGTTACAGTAATGAAAAGCTGACAAATGCAATAACCAGCAGGAGGTGGAGACCAGGCAGATATGGAAGGGGTTTTTAAGTAAAAACAAGGAACAGAACACTTATTCCAAATGAAATGGAAGGAGGGTGATGGGTAGGCTTTGAGGCGAATAAATGATTCAAACTGGCTTGTCTTGTAACAGGATGATCATTTTGGCTGCTGTGTTGAGCACAGACTGAAGAGGGATCAAGGTCAGAAGCAAGAAAAGCAGTTTGGAGGCTATTTTATTAATTTAGGCATGGTTAGGAAGGATTGAGCCAGGGCATTAGCAGGGAAGAGAGTGGAAAGTGGCCAGGCAGACATTTTTAAGGTGG